CAAGTCAATGGACCAATTATATGAATCCATCGTGAACCACCTATGGAGCCTTAATTGAAAGGATACACTAGACAGGTTCATCCTTCACAAAAATATCCATGAGTTTGTGTTTTTAACTTATGGGAAAAAGCTGAAAAACTATAAAAAAGTTATGTTACATGTATGAAGATGCCTTAAAACAAAATAACACTAAAAAATAAATGTGTGTTCAAACTAAAATCAAAGTAAAAGAATTACAATCAAGACAAAATTGATTGTAAAAGGTTTTACTTATAGGAAAGAAATTGATTTTAAATAAATATTTTCACTTGGAATCAAGATATTTTCAATCAAAGTTGTACTTGACTTGACAATAAGTCTTAAATTTAGAAATTGACCAACTTAATATAAAAAGTACTTCGTGTTAAAACAATTATATTTCATAGATCAAATGTAAAAAAAAGTTTGTTTTATATATGAACTCACATAACTTCAAAACAATTATATACATAATTTCAACTTCGAATCACAAATATAATAAAACTTCTTATAATCATAATATTTTTACGAAGAAGTATTCAAATGAAATATTTATTATTATCTTATCATATATGTGTTAATATTTATTATTATCTTATCATATACTGATTATAAGTTGGTTATTGGTAATGTAAAATAAATTCTGACAGTTATTGATGATAGGGAGAATGAAATTATATATTAAAAATACTAAAATATATTTATTAATAAATAAAAAATTAAGTTAATAAAAAATTATTAAAATATCTATATTTATTAAATAAACTTAAATAATTAAAAATATTAAATTATTTATATTTAATAAAGAATATGAAATAGTTAAATTATTTAAAATGTTTAAATATCTATTTATTATAAAAAGATTAAATGAGTAATTAATATAAACTATTAAAATATATATTTGTTATAGAAGTTAAATAATTAAAGTAATTGAAAATACTAAAATATGTATATATTGAAGAAAAATAAATAATCAAATTAACTGAGTCAAGTGAAAATATTAAAATATCTATTTTTCAAAGACAAATTAAATAAAAAATTTAAAAACATATTTTTTAAGTAAATATTAAATATATAAATTAGTTAAAAATATTAAAATGTATATATTTAATGAATAAAATTTAAATGATTAAATTAATTAAAAATTTTAAATACCTTTATTTATTATAGAAAAATTAAATATTTATAGTAGTTAAAATATTAAAATATCCATGTTTATTAAAAAAGAATTAAATAATAAAGTAATGTAAAATATTAAATATCTATATTTATTAAAGAAAAATAATTAAATCAATTAAAATATCTATATTTGTTAAAGAAAAATTAAATAATGAAATAATTAAAAAATATATTAAAATATTAAAATATCTAAATTTAAAAATTTAATTAAAAATAATTTTCCTTCAGGCTTTGTTTGGTTAGAGTGATTTGAGGGAGTGGAAATGAGAGAGTGGAAAAGGAGGGATTTGAAGAGAAAGGGAGATGAATGAAAAGTGAAAGGAAAGTTTATGGGAAATTGTGAATGATTTGATTGATATGAGATATAAAAATTATAATTTTATGTTGATTATTTAAGAAAATTACCATTTTACCCTTTGTATAAAATAAGGTTCAAATGATTATAAATATAAATTTTTAATTAATTATCCATATTTTAACATTGATTATATATTTAAAAGGAAAAAACAAAATTAAAAGTGTTTGTAATTGGAAACAAATTTAAAAAATTAACTTTTTTTAGATAGTTATTAAAAATTATATAAATAAACAATTACAAAATTATGTACATTGCATATCCATATTCAAATAATGTTGACATATTAAATAAATTATTTGACTAATAATTAAATAATTATAAAATATAAAATAATAATTAATATTGACTGATAATAACAAATAATTATGAAAACTAATAATATAATTGTACATTATTGTTTAAAACAAATATAAAATACAGTGAAAATAGAATAATAATTAAGAAGTGATAAAGTGTAATGTTATTGATGTTAATTTTAACAATAATAGAATAATATTATTTTCGAAAATGCCCATATGAATGTGAATATTTTGATTATTATTATATAAAATAATTAAAAGAATAAGGTAAATAGAAAAGTAAAATGCATGGTTATACCACTTTCCTTTTAATCTATAATTAGTTAGGTATGAATCAAATGTAAAGTCTAATGTTATTGATGCTAATTTTAAGAAGATCACAAAATGTAAATTAAATAACTACAATATAAATTTCTACTTTGAAAATGAACAATATAATTAAACTCAAAATTGAGAATACTCTTATACATTTTTGAACTCTTTTGGATAAATTTTGTTTTCCTAATTTTTGATAAAGTTAATTTTAATATTTAAAAGTATTTAACATTTTGAATTCTGAAAGGTTTTCTCTAATAGCAAATTTAAAAACATAATATTCAAAAAAATATTTTAAGATTCAGTCTCGGGTTGCGATATTTCGCTCGAGCGACTATATCTCGCTCGAGCGAAAAACGATCCTGATCGATCATAATTTGAAATGATCGATCATAATTGGAGGATATAATAGCGGTTCCTCTGTAACCGCTATTTAAAGTATATATTAGATAGCGGTTATGGTTTAACCGCTATTATAAGTTATATTTCGCTTGAGCGACATTAAACTCGCTCGAGCGAAGACACCTGCACATAATTTTCATCATCGGGTTGTCTTTCGCTTGAGCGAAACTGATCTCGCTCGAGCGACTAGCAAAGTATGATCTCGCTCGATTTATTTTAATCGATTAAAACACGTTTTAATCGATTAAAACCACTTTGGAAGTCAGGATGATCGATCAGAATGTAATTATGACCGATCAGAGTTGGTTATGATCGATCAGAATTGAATTATGAACGATCAGACTTATATCAATCGATTAAAAAAAATTTCAATCGATTAAAATGACTTGAAAATTTTTGTACAGAGTTTCAATCGATTAAAACGCATTTCAATCGATTAAAATGACTTAGAAAAAATTCTGTGCAGGTTTTTAATCGATTAGAACTTTTTTGTATCAGTTAAAATAACTTGAAAAGTGTTATAAGAAAGTTTTAAACTGAATCAATCGATTAAACCGCGAATCAATCGATTAAATCACTCTTAGAAAATGTTTGTAAAAAGTTTTAACTGATAAAAACTTGGTCGTATCAGCTAAAACAATTCTGTTAAAGAACAAGAACGCATTAATGGGTTGAAAGGACTTTTAACAGATTATAACGGCTATTTCAACATATTAAAACAAACTTTGAACAGATTAATTAATGCAGTTTTTTCTGAAAACTCTTTTATAAACAGAATTGCTTGGAACTTTTATCATATCAGTTTTTAAAAAAACAAAGCAATAAATTTATTGGGTGAACCAGTATAACAATTGCTTGGGTGTGACAAGTATAACAATTTATTGGGTGAACCAGTATAACAATTTATTGGGTGAACCAGTATAACAATTTATTGTTTCCCTAATTTTTGATAAAGTTAATTTTAATATTTAAATTTATTAGAGGTTAAGGTTTAACCTCTATTATAAGCTCCCTTTAAGAATGGTTCTTAAAGTGTTCCATCAACTCCCTGCTGCTTCTCAATTCCTGATTGAATCAGTGCCAGAGTCGGATTAAAGAAAGTAGAGTCGGATTAAAGAAAGTAGAGTCGGATGTTATTGCCTTTGCCCCCACGCCAGCTTGCTCTCTAATCCCACTGCGGATTGGATTGAACTGAAAAAAGCGGAGCTTAGGTAGGCTACAGCAACTCTCAAAGCGTGAGCTCATAAGCCGTATTTCGCTCGAGCGACTATATCTCGCTCGAGCGAAATACGATCCTGATCGATCATAAGTTGAAATGATCGATCATAATTGTTGTATATGATAGCGGTTCCTCTGTAACCGCTATCTAAAGTGTATATTAGATAGCGGTTCCAGTGGAACCGCTATCATATACAACTATATTTTAATTTATTGAGGCTCGACTAGTTTTTCGCTTGAGCGACTATATCTCGCTCGAGCGAAATATGATTCTGATCGATTAGATTTATGAAATGATCGATCATAATTGGAGGATATAATAGCGGTTCCTCTGTAACCGCTATCTAAAGTGATATATAATAGCGGTTAAGATATAACCGCTATTAGAAGTGATATATAATAGCGGTTATGTTTTAACCGCTATTAGAAGTGATATATAATAGCGGTTAAGTTTTAACCGCTATTAGAAATGCTATTATAATAGCGGTTAAGATTTAACCGCTATCATATGGAAGAGGGTAACTTGGACTTTTCATTATCTCCAGCAGACTTTCGTCGCTTTTCTTCGCAGATTAGCGAAGAAAGCTTCTCTCCCCTCTCACGCATTTCCTCGCCTGCATTTCTTCGCAAATCTGTTCAACCAAATGTGGGTGAATCTCGTGTTTCTGTCGTCGTGAACAGTATTTCATCGCAAATCAGTTCAAACAAACACACCGTCAATGTCAATACACTTTCATCTCAGACTTATCTTCGTTTTGTCAATGGTATAACTTCGCTCCACAGAATCGTCATTGCAATGTATAATCAAATCACTATCGGAATGTTATTCTCTAGAACAATTTATGGATAAAAATTACCCTAGATCGTAAAAATATGGCAAAATTTACTAAAAGATTGAAGCTCTTATCCATGTTTTGCATCTGTATCTTCACATATATATGTATATATCACGACTAATAATGAAAGTAAATAAGTCATCTGTATCTTCACATCTGATAAGCTAACATTAACTTACATATCTCAATTTTTTTTCTTTTCAAAATCTCAAGAACATATAAGTATTTGTCCAGAAGCTCATACAAATTGCCTAGTTTTTCAGCAAGTACTTTATTTAATCAAGGGTGGGTGAAATAGCTTTGGGATAAATTGGCAGTGCTGTGGGCACGGTGGTTAGACTGTCTAGTAGGGTGGTGGTGCGCTCACTGGTGGCAATGGAGTTGGAGTCTGGGGAGGTGGAACTTCAGTTGGAGGTGGTGGCACTGGACTTGGAGTCTGGGGAGGTGGATATCCACTTGATGGTGGTGGCAATGGACTTGGAGTCTGTGGAGGTGGAACTTCACTTGGAGGTGGTGGCACTGGACTTGGAGTCTGGGGAGGTGGATATCCACTTGATGGTGGTGGCAATGGACTTGGAGACTCTGGAGGTGGGACTTCACTTGGAGGTGGTGGCACTGGACTTGGAGTCTGGGGAGGAGGATATTCACTTGATGGTGGTGGACTTGGAGTCTGAGGGGGTGGAACATCACTTGGAGGTGGTGGCACTGGATTTGGAGTCTGAGGGGGTGGAACTTCAGTTGGAGGTGGTGGCACTGGACTTGGAGTCTGGGGAGGTGGAACTGCACATGGAGGTGGTGGTGGTGGCAATGGGTTTGGAGTTTGAGGAGGTGGAACTGCACATGGAGGTGGTGGTGGCGGCAAAGGATTTGGAGTCTGGGGTGGTAGAGGTGGGCTTGGAGGGATTGTTGGGGTGGGAGGTAGGAATGGATTTGGAGGAAGAGTTGGGGTGGGAGGTACGAATGGGTTTGGAGGTAGGAAGGGGATTGGAGGTAGGAATGGGATAGGAGGTAGGAAAGGGATTGGAGGTAAAAATGGGATTGGGGGGAAAAAGAAGGTATCTAAAGATGATTTTTTATTTGATGGAGATGGGTTTGGAAGACTCTGTTTTTGGTTACAAAAGCTTGGTTTTGTTTTAGGCTTGAATGAGAAGATGCCAGCTGAGAATATGTGTTGTCCTTGCTTGATTGTCTTGAGGGTCAGTGAAGAAGAGATGGAAACTGAGGGCACAGCACAGTGAGGCTCACTGCTGCTTATGAGTTTGAAAGTGCATCCCTTGATTCTCTTTGCATGTTTCCACACTTTGAATGGCAGCTTCACTTTGAATGCACCATGCTCATTTGTCTCCACTTCTCTCTTCAAACTTGTTACTGAATCACCAACTTTGCATTCTACACCTACTTTGGCACCTGCTCATGACAGAAGAAAAATAATTGCTCAAAAGTTCAAATAACACCTTGAGAAATATGATTGTATATGTGAAAGTGAACCATGTCATCAACAAAGGAAGCAAAATGGACCTGAAATCAAATGGCTTCTGGTTGAGAAATCCTTCTGAGAACACGTGTCACAGTAGACAGTGCCAACCACAGCAGCAGAGAAAAGCTTGATGTCTTTAGCCTCTGAAACACTGCCATGTGTGAGACTGAGAAACAGAATTACAAGAAACCAACACATGGTTCTTAGGTTAGTTGTTTCACAACTTGTGTGAATGTAGGCCTAAGATGATGGTATAAATAATGAGACTCATATTATTGGGGATGAAAAAACATTAATGTAATTAAAGTACCTGATGTGTATAATTTGTGAAGGAAAAAGTCAATGTTCTCATCTTAAAGAAATCAATTCAATTTTATTTATTAATAATATTTTTCTTTCCTTTCCTTTTTTTTCTAAAATGAGAAGTTGAATAATTGACTTTTATTCTAAACTGGTAAGTTTAACATATTCTTTAATTTTATAGTTATGGATACCATGTATTGATTATAAAATCATTATTATATTAAATGATAAAATAATTATAGAAAATACTTATTACTGTATTGTTTTTAAAAGAAAAAGATAAGTCTAGCTTATTGATATATATATATATATATATATATATATATATATATATATAATATTAAATAGGATTTATTAAGTTATTAATATAAATAACATTTACTAATATAAGATGGATGTACTAGTTAATTAATATATATATATATATATATATATATATATATATATATTACATTTACATGATAAATTAATTAATACAATTATTTATTAATGCACTAATTTTTTTATATAGTAATAATGTATATGTTTTGATTATAAAATGATATTTTATATCAGTTTTAAAATAAAATCATAACTCTAGCATGTCAACATCTATTAATAGGATATAATAATTTATATAGTATTAAATCATAATATGAATGTATTATACAAATAAATTAATTAATATACATAAATAATAAAAAATATACTTAACTATGAAATTATATTTATTATTATTATTATTATGTGTGTGTAAAAATACAAATATTAATTATATAATATTCAAATATTTGTTTGTTCTTCATAAATTATCAAAATTAGTTTTTGTTCTGAATAGTGTTTTTTTTCTAAACACTTTCCTTCCTAATAAATATTGGAGTTAAGTTTTTTTATTATGTTTCTTCTCTTAATTTAATAAATATGTTAATTCATTCTTAACAATTACTTTTTTTTAATTATTGATGTTAACGCTCACAAATATAATAGATAGAAAAATATTAAAAATAACTGGTGGTACAATTTCATTACATCTCATTTTTTAAAACATCACAAACTTATTTAACCTTATTATATTAAAAAAAAACACTGAATTATTGTATTTCAATGTTCAAAACTAAAGTAATTGGATAAAAATAAAAAAAATCAAAAATTAGTTAAAGACAAAGGAAAAGTTAAAAAAAAAAGTTATTGAATACTAAAAAAAACGATAGTTTATAAATATTAGACAAATTTAGCTAATTACAAAATCATAATTTACATAAAGTAGATATCATGATATATACTACGGGTTATAAAATAAATTTTGTATTAAATTTAATTTACATTTGATATAATGAGTATTAATACTATATATATATATATATATATATATATATATATATATTCTAATATCTTATGATAATAATAATCTATAAGAAAAGTAAAAATATCATAAAATAATTTATAGTTAAAAAATGGTAAATATATTAGGTAAAAAAATATGAAACATGATTAATAAAAAAAAGAGGTATATTAATTAAAAAAGAAATAAAATTAAATATTAAATAATATTTTAAAAAATTATAAAAAACTATAAATACACAAATACTTTAGCGTTAGAGTTTTTAATAATAATAATAATAATAATAATAATAATAATAATAATTAAACCTGAACATTTCTAAATATATTAGTAAGTTAATACAAATAAATCGCCTACATAGAATAATATATAATTTTTTAAACAAAATAAGATAAAAGAGAAACAAAGTAGATTAATATATGTTTTACCAAATTTTTAATTTAAAAAAGAAAAGAAAAAAATGAAATAATTTTTTAAAAATTTAAATTTAATATACGTATCACTTAAAATATATATATATATATATATATATATATATATATATATATATATATATATATATATAGATAGAGAGAGAGAGAGAGAGAGAGACTTTATATTTCCGTGATAAATTTAATTAATAAAAATATTTATTAATATATATGGTAATTATAAAATGATTTTTATACCAAATTTTAAAAGAATTATAATTCTAACATATTATAGTTTATATTAATTTAAATACTTAATACATGATATGACTGTATTATTAATATACAGAGAAAAAAAGAAAAGCAGAGGAGATATTAACTAAGAGTAGCTCAGTTTTCATTTTTACTATTTTATTTTATCATAATTTAATTATTAAAATGAACTATTAGATTAGATCATTAAATTAAAAAACGTTAGTATAAAAAACAATTATTTAATTCGTATTCTCAAAATAGGTGGATTGGTTATATATATATATATATATATATATATATATATATATATATATATATATATATATATATATATATATATATATAAAATTAAAAATATATTTAATTATTAAGTTATATTTAAATATTTTGATAAAATTAACGAGTCCGACAAAATACTAATTAATTTATGTAAAATAAAGTCAATATTCTCATCTCAAAGAAATAAATTGAATTTTATTCATGAAAAAAAGTTTCTTTCCTACTTTGATTTTACTAAAAAAAGAACTTGAGTAATTGACTTTTGTTCTAAACCGGTCTTAGCTATGAAATCATTATTACATTAAATGATAAATTATTGTTTTTAAAAGAAAAAGATAAGCCTACCATAATATACATATATATATATATATATATATATATATATATATTAATAGGATTTGTTAATTATAAATAATATTTTAAATGTTTTTAATAAATATTATTATAATTAATAACTTAATATTAAGTTACAATTAATATTATTAATATGTGATATGTATTATTTTAAAAAAATTAACTACTTAAAATTAAAAAATAATAATTGAAAAGTAAAATAAGATAATGAATACTCTTAATATATATATATATATATATATATATATATATATATATATATAATTTCCAATCAAGTGCTTTATTATTATTATTATTATAATAATAAAATTATTATTATTATTTAAAAATATTTTTAATAAATAATAATATACAAAAATAAAAGATAATAGAATTTAAATATAGCACTTCTTTGTATAAAATTCATTAAAATAAAAAAATAATATTTTAAAATAAAATAATTTTAGCCACTAAAACAATTGTTATATGTTTTTAAAAAATAAAACTTTAAAAGAATTTGAAAAATAAAAAAAAAATTGATTTTGGATGTCGCATGTAATAAAAACATCTCATAAAATAAAGGTAAAAAAACTTCTTAACTTCATTACTCACTTCTTTTTCTTTATCGAAAATTAATTTATCTGTAAAAATCTTCTACTCAAATAAATAATACAAATAAATGATTAAAAAATATATCTTATATATTTTATAAATAAATAAATATATATATATATATATATATATATATATATATATATATATATATATATATATATATATATATATATATTAGAAATCGAGTAAAACCGGATACGCACAAACATCACATTTCTAATATATATTTAATCATGAACTCTCTCACTTAATTTTTATTTCCTAAAATAATTTGATAATAGTCTTATAAACAGAATATTTTTATTCTTTATGCAAACACATTCGCATATTTTCATTATTCCCAGTAAATGTTCTTCTCATTTATATTGAGAAGAGTTGGACATTTTTATTTTTAATGGAACAAAACTTATTATATAGTTCAAATTACACATTGAACGTATAAAGTTATCTAATCATAATTACTTGTCATCATAAATATTTAAGAAATGATTTATAGTTTATGTTATCGAATAAAACTTGTTCGGACTCAATTTAACAATATTTTCATTCAATAATAAACAACGTATTTGTTTTTCTTTCTAAAATATATACTTTGATTATTATTATTTTTTAATAAAATACAATTGAAATGTATTTTTTTTATAAATTAAAATCATATTAAGTCTTTTGTATTTTTTAATTGATTTTTATCTAATTTGGTAAATAAGCACGTGTGTATTGTATATATTATTTTAGACTTATACATAAGAAAAAAATTATCAAATTTTAATTATCTGAGTATAAAATAAATTATGTTGGGAGACGAATTCCCCTGTTAATAACTGTTTTTGACGATGAATAAGTGGTACCAATATAATGACTATATAAAAATTATAAGAAAAAATAATTTCCTCAGTTATAATTAATATTATTATTTCAAATATATCTTTATACTTAATGTTGAAATTACACTTCTTTATTTTATAAAATCACGAATAGTAATAAATTCAACTAGCATTCTCAATTAGTATAAAATTAGGTACTTTTAGTTTATTAAAAGTTTTAGAATAGTTTTTTTTATATATTAATTGTTATAAACTAAAAAATATATCTCAAAAATGAATAAAACAAAAAAGCCATAAATAAATTTAAAAAGTATAAAGATATTTATCTTTCAAAAATATTTCTGTGAACAAAATAATGCTTTAAACAATAATTCATAACTATTAATAAAAGGTATTTTAAAATAATTATTTTTTGGTGTACATTTTTTTTGTAATTTTACTGTGGTGGTAGAGGTGGGCTTGGAGAGAGAGGTGGGCTTGGAGGGAGAGTTGGGCTGGGAGGTAGGAGTGGATTTGGAGGGAAAGTTGGTGTGGGAGGTAGGAATGGATTTGGAGGGAGAGTTGGTGTGGGAGGTACGAATGGGTTTGGAGGTAGGAAGGGGATGGGAGGTAGGAAGGGGATTGGAGGGAGAGTTGGGTTGGGTGGTTGGAATGGATTTGGAGGCAGGAAAGGGATTGGAGGTAAAAATGGGATTGGGGGGAAAAAGAAGGTATCTACAGATGATTTTTGATTTGATGGAGATGGATTTGGAAGACTCTGTTTTTTATTACAAAAGCTTGGTTTTGTTTTAGGCTTGAATGAGAAGATGCCAGCTGAGAATATGTGTTGTCCTTGCTTGATTGTCTTGAGGGTCAGTGAAGAAGAGGTGGAAACTGAGGGCACAGCACAGTGAGGCTCACTGCTGCTTATGAGTTTGAAAGTGCATCCCTTGATTCTCTTTGCATGTTTCCACACTTTGAATGGCAGCTTCACTTTGAATGCACCATGCTCATTTGTCTCCACTTCTCTCTTCAAACTTGTTACTGAATCACCAACTTTGCATTCTACACCTACTTTGGCACCTGCTCATGACAGAAGAAAAATAATTGCTCAAAAGTTCAAATAACACCTTGAGAAATATGATTGTATATGTGAAACTGAACCATGTCATCAACAAAGGAAGCAAAATGGACCTGAAATCAAATGGCTTCTGGTTGAGAAATCCTTCTGAGAGCATGTGTCACAGTAGACAATGCCAACCACAGCAGCAGAGAAAAGCTTGATGTCTTTAGCCTCTGAAACATTGCCATGTGTGAGACTGAGAAACAAAATTACAAGAAACCAACACATGGTTCTTAGGTTAGTTTGTTTCACAACTTGTTTGTGAATGTAATCCTAAGATGATGGTATAAATAATGAGGCTCTCATATTATTGGGGATGAAAAAACAGGTAATGCTTTGCAGTACGTGTATAACGTTTGAAAGAAAAAGTCAATGTTCTCATCTTATAGAAATAAATTCAATTTCATTTATTAGCAATATTTCCTTCTTCTTTTTTTCCATAAAAGGAAGTTTAATAGTTGACTTGTATTCTGAACTGGTAAGTTTAACGTATTCTTTAATTTTATAGCTATGAATACCATAAGTAATTATAGAGTCATTATTGAAAAATTAATTATAGAAAATAGGTAATAATATTGTTTTTAAAAAAGAAAAAATAAGTCTGACACATTAATATATATAAATATTAAATACGATTTATTAAGTTATTAATGTAAATAATATTTATTAAAATGTAACACGGATGTACTAATTAATTTTTCTATATATATTATGTTTACATGACGAATTAATTAATACAAATATTTATTAATGCATTAATGTTTATATACTAATTATATGTTTTGATTATAAAATAATATTTTATATCAGTGTTTTAAAGAAAATCATAACTTTAGCATATCAACATCTATTAGTAGGATATACTAATTTAAATAGTATTACTTGATAATATGAATGTATCATTAATTTATATAAATAAAAAATTAAAAATATACTTAAATCGAAATTATATTTATATATTTTCATAAAAATATAAGTCTAGCAAATATTCACTAATTGATATATATATATATATATATATATATATATATATATATATATATATGTGTGTGTGTGTGTGTAAATACTAATATTAATTTTATAATATCTACATTTTTTTTGTCCTTGATAACTTTTGTTCTTGATATTTTTTTTTAATTCTTTTGTTCCTAATAAATATTAAGGTTAAATAAGTTTTTTTCCTCATAATTTAATAAATGCGTTAATTTATTAGTAATAATTACTTTGTTATTTTTTGAATTCATGATGTTAAATAAGTTATTATTAAGATTATTAATGATCTTAATAACTTATAAAAAAATGTAACTTCAATTTATACATAATTTAATTTAAACTTTAACTAATGAAAAAAATTATTATTATTATTATTATTAATTTTTTAAGTTATTATGGAGAAAATTCTCCAAATAAATTCTAAATAAAAGAGCAATGTTAACTCTATCACTCAATCATACATTATTTCTCATACTATTATTGATTGAAATAATCAATTTTAATGGCTATGAAAAGTTTTTTCATGGGCTCCAATTTTGATGTCTAATCTACTAAAATTAGGACTTTTAAATAATAAATTCCGATTAAGAGTACAGAAAGAAGTAGAAAAAAAAAAAGTGTTGATAACCACCTCAATAGATAAAGACTACATATTTGTGATGGAATAAATACTTATTTTATCATTTTGATTTCTCATAATTGTTTGATTTTTTTTATAATATAACTTTTTTTTGCTAAATTATGAAATGACAAATATAGAATCATATAATCAAGACACATAATATCTCATAATGAAGTGACATAGTATTTAACAAAGGAAAAAAAACATTAATATGTCATACTACGAGTTAAAGGAGAAAAAATATATGGAATCAAAATAATAAATTAAATATAGTATAGTGTTTTTTAATATGTTTATATGTTTAAGATTTTTTATTAAAAAAATTCTGTTAACATCTTGTTTAAAGATTGTAATTGTATAAGAAAAAACTATAAATAAATTAGATGTTTAAAGCTTAAAAAAAGTACTTGAAAAATATCTACTAAGATACTTAAATAAATTTACATTTTTATAGGAATTTTTTTTAATGTTAAAATAAGTCTTAAAGTTAATATTAATATAATTTGTTATCTAAAATAATTTGGTAAGAGTTTTATAAACAGGATAGATTTATTCTTTATGAAAAGGTACTTATTTTTATTTTTTATTTATATATTTTTTTATTAAAAATGACTTAAATACTAGAGTATCTTTTTTGCTCGCACATATAATATTTAGAGCTCTTGGCCTAGGAGACTTGAGGTAAAAATTGTATGTTTTTTATATTTATTGAAGCTTAATCGATTTATAAAAGTAATTTATAATTAACTAAGATATATATATATATATATATATATATATATATATATATATATATATATATATATATATATATATATATATATATATATATATATATATATATATATATATATATATATGAGACTAAGTTGATTTAGAGATATGATTCATCACATGATTATAACTATCTATAAAAGTTATGTGTGCACTATTATAAAATATGTTTTCTATGTCGTTATTTAATGTCGGTTATAGTTGGAACGACGTAGAAAGTATTTTTCACGTCGGTTCCCGGATGAACCGACGTAAAAGTAATTTCCACGTCGGTTCCCATATGAACCGACGTTGAAAGTTGAATATTAAACACATTCTACGTCGGTTTTTAGTCAACTAACGTAGAAAATACTTTCCACGTCGGTTCCCATATGAACCGACGTTGAAAGTCTTTTTGTTTTTATTTTTTTCACCCAAAAATTAACTTAAATTTAAAAATTGTCACCGACAGGATTCAAACCCAGGATTTTAGAATTGAAAACTCGATACTTCAACCACTAAACTACTATAATTTTCTAATAATAACTTACAAATAAATTATATTTATATAAAAATAAATATATATCCATGTAAATATGTATTTATTTGTATATATTTTCTGGAAAATATTTTTATTTTTTTTTCAGCCAAAAATTCACTTAAGTTAAAGAATTATCACTCACAAGCATTTGAACCTACTATTTTAGAGTTGAAAGTTAATATCCCAACCACTAAACTACTATAATTTTTTTATAATAACTTACAAATAAATTATATTGGTATTTTTCAATCGAGGGTGAAAGTGAGATTGACTCTCGCTTGAGTGAAAATATGTTAAAGCTCACTGAAATTCACTCGCTCAAGCATTGGTATTTTTCGCTTGAGAGCGAATGACGCGTTTCCCAAATTTATTTTATATCATTATGTAAATAAAATTATAAAGATTATATTCTGTCATTAAATTACAAACTCATATAAAGATACTCGCTTACAAATTTAGCATCAAAATTTGAAAATTCACTCGACACACACTTTCACCTTCGAGCGTACCCTTATATCCAACATATAAATATATAATATATAACTATATAAATATATTTGTATTTATATATTTACACGGATATATATTTATTTGTATATAAATATAATTTATTTGTAAGTTATTATCGAGAAAATTCTAGTAGTTTAGTGGTTGGAGTATCGACCTCCAACTCTAAGGTACTGAGTTTGAATCCTGTCAATGACAATTCTCCTAAAAAAGAGAGGGGAGACTTCTAGATAAATAAAAAGGGTAAAGGGGTTGTAAATAAATACAAATTATTGATTTGAAAAATCATATTTTCAACGTCGTCTGTCGTCTGATACAACAACTAACGTGGAAAGTTTTATTTGTAGTAGTGGTGGTACTATTGAGGTTACTATATATGCTTGTAGCATTCGATGAGGAAATTATTGGTGACTTGCCCTTAGATTATGAGAGTGGTTCATTAAAACGGGTAGTGTGTTATTAGTAGTCCTACTTTCATGATAAGAAAAACAAAATGATGTTGATAGTTAGAGAATATTTAGGACAATATTGATTTCAATATGACTCACAAATGCTAGTCTCCACGTTCGGAGTAAAGTGTCGATATTCTAAAAGATGTTTATATAATTGTGATATTATATGTATAATAGATTTTATGAGTAATTATTACTTGAATAGTTAACTTACCCTTTTTTATTTTTTATTTTTTCTCGTATGACTTATCAAGTTAATTATATGAGCTTAGGATGTTATAAGTGTGAAGACTATACATGAATGACAAGTTTAATCTATGATATAATGTGGTGGAAAATTTGTTCACATATTAATAAATATTTTGTGACATAATCTACTAAAGGTAAAGATTACTTTTAAATTAAATACTTACTAGATATAATGTACTCTCTTTATATATAATGCAAATTATTTGTATATAGGGATGATAATTAAAACTCAAACCAAGGGACCCATCCGTCTCCAGTATCGAGTTTGATAAGAAAAAATCAAGTTAACCGGAAGTAGAGATGAGTTCGATTTGAATTTTTTCCACTTTAAAAAGTCGAGAGGAAGAAAAGGTAACATAATCCCCTTCATCTCCACCCTAACTTTATATTTAAATTTAAATCCTACAATATTAATATTTTAAAATTATTTTATTTTCTTTATCACATTATATATAAAACCATTTTTCTTATTTCAATATTTTTACTTTTATTCTACCCACTTTTTACTCTTTTGTCTTTTTCAATTTCTTATATCAATTTGTTTATTATATTATTATCTTTCTTTTACCTTATATTACATTTCCTTAATCTCTCTAATAAATTTATTTTTTCAATCTCTTTAACTAATTTGATAAACATTAAGTTAATTTTTTTTCTTTATTTTTTTTTAAATATCGTACACAACTCTTAGTAATAATTAATATTATTTCATTTATAATTTATCTTTATTATATTTTTTATGTCATATTATTTAAATTTTTTATTTATTTATCATATAGCAAATTATCTTAATAAAATAATTATATTTTGAAGATTAAAAAAAATTAATAATTAAAACTTTTATTATTTTGAACTAATCAAATATTTTTTTATAAAATATATATTTTATATTTATAAATATTTTAACTTAAAAAACAATTAATTTATATATATAATATAATCAAATATTTAAATATAATAATATTATTATTATAATAATAAATATTCTATATTTATATAAAGACAAAATTAATTAAATATTATATATATATATATATATATTTAATATAAATATAATAAATTAAAATATATACTTAATTAATAATAATTAAAAATATAAAATTAAAAATATTTATTTATATATAAAAAATATTAAAAATAATTGATTATAAATATAATTATTTTTTTTAAAATAATATAAAATAAGACGGATTGGAGCGAAAAACCCAAAATACAACAAAGATAAAAATGAGAAATTAATTTTTAACCAAGGGAAATCAAACATGGAGGCGAAGTTTGGGGACCAAAACCCACCCCGTTACTTTACCGTGACTAATGGATTATTAATAATACTGATTCTTCTTATTAATAGAGGAAACATACGGTTTGAATTTAAATCATATTATTTTATTTATTTTAGATCGAAGTAAAAATATTTTCTATTAAAGAAAAATATAAATTTTTTTTGTTAATAACTTCTTGAATGGAGTTTGAACAAGTATGTTGGATGATATTATTGAAATACTGTTTTTTATACATGGTTGTGTATGTATCTTTTATCATATTTTTTATTTTAATAAATTAAAATGTAATATATATATATATATATTAATTTTAAAATATAAATATTATTTTATGAAAAAACATTGGATATAGAAAAACTATATCTAAACGAAGTTGAGAAAAATATGATGAAAAATATAAAGAAGGTAAATGATAATTTCAATTAATTTTATTTTTTTATGGAAGAAATTGAAAAGAATATAATTAAAAAATAAAAAAGAAACGATATAAAATAAATTTTTAATTAACCAATAAAACCAAAATAATTAAAAAATAAATCCCTTCTATTATAACAATAAAGCTACAAACTTTAAACCGATAAACGGATGCAATGAACATCAACCCATTTCGTTATGTTTGTAATTAAAATTTAGATTAATTGTAATTCTTCTGTAGTGCAGGTTATTAATAGTACAATTTAATTTGTATTAATTGGAATAATTACACATTTAACGAAATATAAAAATTAATTGTAATTACTCCGTAGATTAAATTGACCCAACCAACAATCCTCAATGCAACGTCTAAATACTTGTAGTAGTTAAAATAAAATACAATTAATTGTAATGAAACGTGTAAAATTTTATAATTAATATAATCGTTTAAAATATAATTAATTGTAATCACAATTTAAAGCACAAAGTAACGTAATAATAACACTTTATGTATGAGAGCCTCGCTATCTATATACCATAACCCTTAGGCCTAAACTCGCAGAAAGTTTCTGAAACTACTAACCTTAGAACCATGTGTTGGTTTCTTGTAATTGTGTTTCTCAGTCTCTCATATGGAAGTGTTTCAGAGGCAAATGACAACAAGCTTTCTTCTGCTGTTGTGGTTGGCACTGTCTACTGTGACACATGTTCTCAACAGGATTTCTCCACCAGAAACCCTTTTATTTCAGGTTCATTTTGCTCCCTTTTGAAGACATATCATATCACTTCTTCAACTATCATTTGAACTTTGTGAGATAGATATGTTTTGTTCTGTCATGTGCAGGTGCCTCAGTAGGTGTAGAATGCAGAGTTGGGAATTCAATACCAGGTTTCAAGAAAGAAGTGAAGACAGATGAAGACGGTGAATTCAAAGTGAAGCTACCATTCAAAGTGTGGAAACATGCAAAGAGAGTCAAGGGATGCACTTTCAAACTGATAAGTAGCAGTGTGCTTCATTGTGCTGTGCCCTCAGTTTCCACCTCTTCTTCAGTGAGTCTCAAGGCAAGGAAGCCAGGAGAACACATCTTCTCAGCTGGCTTGTTCTCATTCCAGCCTACTAAAAAGCCAGACTTTTGTAACCATAAACAGAGTGCTCCAAACTCCAAGGATCATCATGATCATGTGAAAAGTGAATTTCCTCCAAATCCAACTGAAAGTTCATACAAATCTCAATCAGATAAAAGTTCAACTAAATCTACTACCCTTTTACCTCCCATCCCATTTTTACCTCCAGTCCCATTTTTACCTCCCATCCCATTTTTACCACCAATCCCATTTCTACCACCAATTCCATTCCTTCCCCCAAACCCATTTGTACCACCGAGCCCTCACTCACGTTCCTAATCTAAAAACCATCAATCCATCCACCAAGCTCATCATCGCCTATCCCCATCCCGGTCCAGCCACAGAGATCATTGCCATTTTCCCCTGAGCCATTTCATCCTCCAAGCCCTGGCCAACCCCTGCTTCTTCCAAGGACACTTCCCTTGATCAAACAGAATACGTTCAGGAAAATTAGTCAATTTGTACGAAACTAATAATACTTGTATGAAAACAAAAGTAGAATGTGATGTGAAGTGAAGTTAAAATGACCCTTCATGGGAGAGCTTTCGAAAAAATTGAGATAAATAAATTGAAGTTAACAGTATGAATTGATTTTACCTCATTTACATTCTATTATATATATATATATATATATATATATATATATATATATATATATATATATATATATAGAGAGAGAGAGAGAGAGAGAGAGAGAGAGAGAGAGAGAAATTTAGCTTGAACTCGAGAAATCAATGAATTTGTAACAATCCAAGGTCAGGGTTCGCAATTGATTGGTTTAATTTATGTCATTTAAAATAATTTAATCGTTTTAGTTTAGATTAACTGGTCATAATTCAAATTTATCGATACTTCTAATAAAATTTGTAAATGTTTATTTTTATGTTTAATATAATATTTTATAAAATAATCGTAACTTACAATCTATTCCCCAGAATTTAAGGATATATGTATAATTTATAATGTATAATAAAATCACAATTGTAAGTGTGCATTTCCAGAACAATTCATAGATACAAATGACACAAGTAACAGAAATTTAAGAGATTGATGCTCTAAGATTTCCACATCCTCATATTTATTACTAATTACTGATATAGTAACGATGAATCATATTTATTTTTTCTGCAGTAGCTACTATGTATAGCTATTTATATCATAGCCATATATGTTGTACACAATACAAAACTAATTCAGATGAATTTCTCAATAAATATTCATAAAAAGAAGAAAATAATGAAGTAATAAGGTAAAATCACCTCTTTAACACTTTTTATTTTCTTTTTTTACAAATATTTGTTAAGAAATTTCTACATAATGATGGGTATGATCTAGTTAATCAAGGGGAAGTATTCTTGGATGCAGGGGCTGTGCCAGGACTGTGAGGTGGAGGGAAAAGAGGTGGGAATAGTGGAGGGAAAGGAGGAAAAGGGAAAATTGGTGCTGGTGGTGGAGGTGGAGGTGGTGATGGAGTTAAACCTGGTATTACTATTGGTGGAAAAGGAGGAAACAAAGATGGTGGTGGGCTTGGTGGAGGCTGGAACGGGTTAGGAATGAGTGGTGCACGTGGGCTTGGAGGAGGCTGGAATGGGTTAGGGATGAGGGGTGGTGGGCTTGGTGGCTGGAATGGGTTGGGAATGAGTGGTGGGCTTGGTGGTTGAAAAGGGTTGGGAATAAGAGGAGGTGGTTGAAAGGGGTTTGGAATGAGGGGGGGAGGCTGAAATGGGTTAGGGATCAATGGTGGTGGAAGAAATGGATTTGGAGGAAAAAAGAAATCTTCTGCTAAGTTTTTATCTGAATGAGATTTGTCTGAACTTTTAGTTGGATTGGATTTGAAAACAGTAGTTTGAACTTTTGGCGGAATTCCTGAAAAGGGTTTCACATAACCATGTGGCTTGGAGTTTTGAACACTGTCCTTTTGGTTACAAAAGTTTGGCTTTTCTGTAGGCTTAAATGAGAACAACCCTGCTGAGAATATGTGTTCTCCTTGCTTTCTTGTCTTGAGAATCACTGAAGAAGAGGTGGAAACTGAGGCCACACCACAGTGAGGCTCACTGCTACTTATCAACTTGAAAGTACACCCTTTGATTCTCCTCATATGTTTCCTCACTTTGAAAGGTAGCTGAACTTTGAATTCACCATGTTCATCTGTCTTCACTTCTTTCTTGAATCTCGGTACTGAATTCCCATCTTTGCATTCTACACCTACTGAGGCACCTGCATAGGAATTAACAAGACATAAGCCACCAAATTCAAAAGAACACCGAAGGGGTATGATATGATATGAAACTGACTGAACCATGGCATCAACATGTGAATCAAATGGACCTGAAATGAAATGGCTTCCTTGAGAGAAATCCTGTTGAAAACATGTGTCACAGTACACAGTGCCAACCACAGCAGCAGAAGGAAGCTTCTTGTCATGGCTAGCCTCGGAAACACTACCATAGGTGAGGCTGAAAAACAGAATTACAAGGAACCAAGACATTATTCTAAGGTTTGTTGTTTGAGAAAACGTGTCTAAGAGTGAAGGCCAGTTGGTGTTAGTGCTTCCAAATAAATAATGAGGCTCGCACTATTCAATTATAAGCTATTATTCCTCTTTAAGAATCCTCTGTACTCTCTTTCTCTCACAATGAAAAAGACAATTGAAAAAGGGTAGTAGCAATCATGCAAACAAACCACTCTTAACTGTGTGAAGAGTAGTGATTTGTGGTCTGTTTTACCACTTTTGATGGGGGGTGTAAAAGTTGGACAAAGATAAGCTCTTGTTTCTGTTTGATGAGAAAAAAAGAGTAGAAGATAACGATGATGCATAGAACTAATATAATAATACACTTTGGATAGTATAATAAAACAAGAAAATTTGCTTGGATGTTTGTTCCTTTGTTAGTACGTGGAAATAAGGGTTGGGTCCTGTTGGTTCACGAGACTATATAAGAAAGTAACCACATAATCTCTGAGAAGGACATTTGACATTACAGATGACAAACACGTAGGAAATATGTCTTTGCTAGAGTCACACTGAGAGCCAAGACAATGCTTAACATGGCACCTGTGAAGTTCTAGATGTCAGAGGCTAAGAGTTTAGACAAATTAATAATTAACTCTGTTAGCATGACCTGTGAGCTGCATGTGACAATACTAATATATTAGTAAATTATAATAGTTGAAGAGCTTATGAAGAACCATTTTCTGACTTGAAGTTAAACCAGTAGTGCAATGATTAAGTGGGTGTGATTCAATTTATTTGGCACAAATTGTTTATTTTCTTTAATTGGATTACTTTTGCAGCAATCATTTTTTAAATTGTTTATACATATATGTAAGTTAAGGTGTTTATTTCGGTATTATCTCTGAATAAAGAAAATATTACACAGCTTTTATAAATTTTAAATTTTCTATCGACGTATAATATTTGTTCATGAATTTATGACTTTTGTCTATATTGTGGTTTTCTGAATAAGTTTTTATAAGTTTATATATATGAATAAAAGCCACAAATTCATTCAAATGTATAGAAAAGTATAATATTATATAATGTTCTCTGTTTTGGAAGTATTAATTATCAAAGAGGATTCCAGAATGTTACTCGATCCTGTTTATTTCTTTCTATTAAAATCATTAGCATTATATATACAATCCCTTATACTTTGATATTTATAATTATATTTACTCTGCAGCACTGAAATGCAATATATATATATATATATATATATATATATATATATATATATATATATATATATTCATGATTTTAGTTTAAACAATAATATAATTAAATTTATATCTAAATAAAAACATATTTTAAATAAAATGAACCTTTAAATTTATTTTAAACTAGTTTACATGGAGATAAATATTTTTCAATTTATGAATATTTTTTATGACAAATATTTAAGAATTTAATATTTTTAATTAATAATTGACTTTCAAATTTAAATATAACTTAATTTTTTTTCATATTTAATAAAGTAGTACGTCGATATTCACCAACTATTTTTTTCCATCAATCAAAATTAGAATTCCTTCAAAATAACTAAACATATTATTAATTAATTAATGTATTTTTAAATCAATCACAGCATTATCATGTTTTTAGAAAATAAATATTATAAATAAATAAAAAATATAATAATATATTAAAAAAATTAATAGTAATCCCTTATATAACCAAATAATATTAGAAAGATTTATTTACTAAATTTACAATGTTTATTATAAATAAATAATTATAATTTTAAAAATGTATATTAATTATCTTAGTTTAAAATAATTTAAAATATATTCAAGATACTAGAATATAATTTATATTATTTAAAATATAATTTTAAAAAAATAATCTTATTTAGGTTACTTGTAGAAAATATTTAAAGAGAGAAATTAAAAAAATGAAATATAAGTGTGAGAAAACAATAATAGTAGAAAAAAAGATAAGAATAACTCCAATTAGTGCAACTTATAAGTTGCTTAAAATTTTATTGATTATTTAAAAACAAAAACTTAAAAAATAATGAATAAAAATGAGGAGATAAATAGGAGAGAATGAGTTACTTAATTGTAAAAGAAAAAATACAATTAATTTGTGAATTCACTACAAGAAATATTAAAATTATTGACAGTCAAAATCCGTCGATAATAACAAAAATCCGTCAATAAATGAATATTATTGACTGAATTTCGACTGCCAAAATCTGTCGGAAATTTGGTTGTCGGTAAATATTACCGACAGATTTAATAGTTCGTTGGTAATTACTAACTGACTGGAATCCATCGGTAATAATTTTATTATTTATTAAAAATTATACTTATTTATATAACATTTTTTTTTATAAAACTCCTCCCATTTATATTTTTAATTATTTCTTCATATTATATTTTTATAACTTTGAATTATTATACCTTAGAGTTGGAGGCTAATACTCCAACCACTAAACTACTTAGAATTTTTTTATAACAATTTACAAATAAACTATATTTATATACAAATATATTTATATATTTATATATTTATATATTTATATTTTTATATATTTTTTATATTTTTATAATTTTATATATTTATATATAATTAAATATTTATTTTTTAAAATTATTTAATTTAATAAATTATTATAAATTAATCTAATTATGATTAAATTAAATTATTAAATAAAAAATATTTTATTTTTTAATTAGGTGAATAATTAAATTATATTATATAATTTTACTGATCGGATATATCCGTCGGTAAATAATTGTTAATTTACAGATGAATTTACCGACGGATATATCCGTGATAATTAATTGTTAATTTATCGACTGAATTTATCGATCGGATATATCCGTCGGTAACATCAAATTCCACAAATATTTTATATCCATCGTGTAATGATTATTTTTCGATCGGCTACAAATCATGTCGATAAATATCTCGTCTGATAATACGCGATTTTCTTGTAGTGATTCGTTGATGTGATAAAATAAATTTATATTTATTAAGTATGAATTGTTTTATAAGAAAAAGTAAAAGAAAAGTAAATGTAAGATGAAATAATTCAACTTTTATTCGAATATATAAGAACCTCAAATTTAATATTTATTTTTAAAATTTAAAAGATCAAAATATTATATTTAATTCCAAAATCAAAACCAGGTACATTCAAAGTTTGAAGTAAAAATTTAAGGACTGAACTATTCTTTTTAAACTTAAAAATGAAAACTCATGTATTAAGAATTTGATAATAATTAGCAAAGTGAATACTCAAAATCTACAATAGAAATTATGTGAAAATAAGCAAAGTGAATACTGAGAGATAATATCCCAACGATTGTTATAAGGGATTTGCGAATTTTTATATAAAAATAAGTAAAAAAAATTGTGAAAATAGAATTATGTTTGAATGAAAAAGAGATAGTTAACTTTGAAAAGAGTCATTAATGGAAGTCGTTATATCTTCACGGGTGTTTTAATTTCAATAAAAAGATGACTTTGATTGTGAATCATTGATTATGGGGACCATGCTTTGTCTAATTTTTTCTCTTATCATACAAATAGACAAAGAAAGAGAGGTACTCACTTTACCATCACATGGGAGTTTTTTCTTTTTTGGCATAAATATTTAATAAAATTCTTCAATTTCACACAGTAGCACCAACATGTTTGTTCACAAACCTCTAAAATCTTTAAAATTCTACATTTATGTTGATACTAAACGATGAAATAAATAAATAAATAAAAACCTAATGTTAGAGTTTTGTTTGGTTTGAAGAGAAATGAGCAACTGTTTCCTAGAAGAAATTGCATGAATGATTGTTCCACGACATTTGGTGTGTCTGGCTTTAGTTTGCCCTGGTGTTTTAAAAATTGTTTTAACTAGAAATTGATTTATAATTGATTTGTTATTTTTAAATAATTAAATTTTAATTAAAATAGAATAAAATTGGATAAATCGATATAAAATTGATAAAATCGACAAAAATTGACTAGTTTCATAAATCGAATCAGTTTTCGATAATTTTTTTAATATAATTTTTTATAAAAAATATAATATATTTTAATTTTTTTTAAATCTCATAGTTTTAGATAATAGTTAATTTATTATATTTTTATTTTACATTGATTATTATTTATTTTATATTTTCTCTTATATTTTATATTTATAATATTCACGATAATTTAAGATCTGAATAATATTTTTTTTCTTTTGTAAAAAAATAATATTATTACTAATAAATTTATTATATTATAAAAATATTATTTTATTAAATTCAATTCAACTCATATTAAACCTTTTAACTTTAAATTTATATTTTCATGAATTTAATGGCAAGTTTAATTTTAGATAGATTATCTAATAAAGATATATTAATTTGCATTATTTGGAATAAAAATAATATTTTTATAAATTGATTGGTTTGCCACTAATAAATATTTTTGTATAAAAAAGTTTTAATTATAAAAAAATTGAATTTTTAATCTACTAATGAGAATGTGATCTGACCATATTCATCTGAAAAACTCCCATATATCACATAAAAAGTCTTATATATTTCTTGAAACATTAATAAAAAAATTTAAAATTACCAAATCAAAATTCATTAAAAGAGGTACCAGAAGTATCATAGATATAAATGCAATATTTTGCTGAAACATAAATAGAAATTAGGCAATAATATCTGAAAATTATAGGTAATAAAGCATGTTGTTATTCAAATTACAGTTTACACAACCATTTGTAAACCCAAAACCTTTTCAAATAATCAATGCACATTTTTTTCTAATCATAAGAGACATAATGTATTAGTTCTCTTAAAAAAACTATTTTTCATTATAAATATAAAATAGAATTATTAATTATTTTAAATCAAATAAACGCATAATACAATAAAAATTCAACACAATTTTTAAAATTTCATTCATTCGTGTAATAATTTTATTTAATTTTAATCCTTATATCTAATTAAATAATTCACAATCCACTATAGTGTTTGATTATTATGCGAAAA